AATCACGTTGTTGTCGAGATATCTTCGCTCAAAGTTTAAAAATATTTTAATTTACAGGGGGTATTAATAGTAAAATTGGGGTTTGAGTTTGCATGGAGGGATCATCATTGAACATCTTGTTGGGTAAATAGATATACCCAAATAGATGTACTCGGATATTAGGGACCGTCAAAAAATTTTTTAAAAAAATTCATGTGAAGCTCTCAATTAACCAATCTTAACTTTGCAATACTTATTTCTCTGAGATCGTTGGAAAGAGCCGAGAAATTTGAGTTGAATCCGCCAATTGCGGTTAAAGAATTGTTAATGACAACTGTTGAATTCGAAGAATTTATATTTAATGGAAGAGTATAATGTGTAAAACCACAATGATAGTACAGTAATTATAATACGGTATTACCGTATCATTGTCTTTTAAATAATTGTTTGTTTGGTATTTCACAAACAGTATTTACAGGTAAAAAATAAAAAAATGTAAATAACATTGCAGAATATAATATGGCACCGAATTTCAGAAATATCTTTATTTGATCCGTATAGAAATTCAAGCAGACATATTCATTTTTCCATATGATTGATACCCAATTATTTCAAAATCATCTAATTTGAAATCGGTAATATCTGTTATTTTACGTTTAATTTCCAAACAAGGAAATGCTTTGGGTTCTCTCTCAAGTTGCAATATGCGCGTCACCCATAGTGTGAATAAATTCACCTGGCGAAAGGCCTGAAAGTGCGTAACTTTCAATATTGAAGGGAACTCAAGACCCATATCACAAGAACGTTGTTAATGTACCCGTGGTACTAGGAAAAACACTGGTTAGTTTATTAAATAAAATCCATTCAATCACCTCATAATATGCGTATTTTCTAAGTTGAAATTATCTGATATAATCATCAATTTCCTTGTTTCTGCTTATTTATCTTTGCAGTGATATCAGGGATCACGATTTCGAAAGAAATAAATAATGTATTTGTTTCAAAATAAGCGATCTATATAAATCTTTAACAATTATTATTTTTTTTAACTACATCTCTTTAAACACTGCTATTTTATTTTCTGATTTCAAAATTTTAAAATACAAATGCGATTTTTTAAACTCCTATCTATCTATTATTTTTGAAATACGCTAATTTTAAAACCGCTATTATTTATAATTTTTACCGAGGATGATGAACCTTAAGTCATAATTGTCAACTTATCTACAGAAAAACATATAAAATATCGTGTACAATCACTAATATTAACGCTCATTTAAAAAAATGATTGATATTAGCCAATCACGAAAAATTCTTTATCGTCGTTATTATTTCGACAAATAATTAACACTTTTGCGAATAAGATAGTAAGGTCATTGCTAGGAATCGAACCCAGTGCACCAAATAAGGTACCTCTCCAGCAGACAATGACTAAAAAAGAATATCGGTACTTGTTTGCCATCAACTAAATGATGCCCAGATCACACGACGAGGACGTCAGTACCAAAGTGACCCAAAAAATTAACTAGTCAATACTTGCTCTTTTGTATCTTTGTGCACATTTGCATTTACCAATAAGAGCATAGTATTCTTCGTATTACCAGCTTTCACAACCTGGTTTGTGAAAGCAAAAAAAAAAATTACACCCACAAGCGAGATTTTTTTACTATAAAGCAAAAGTTAAAAAAGCAACAACGAAACCTACCACTCGCTGGGGTAAAGGGTCCTTTCCAGGTAAGGAAGGAGGCAGAACCTAACCCGTTTCTTCACTGCTCTTCTTTGCAGACGGGCTAGTCTGCACGCTAAAAAACTGAAAGCACCCATATTCGAGAACTTTCAAACAGAAAAAAAGTTAAAACGAGGTATAGCAACTGAAACAAGTGTATACAGAATGAAATACTCATCTAATCAAATTTTTGTAATAAAGGTTCAAGAAATATAAGTAGAGAGAATAGTGTAAAAGTGTAAAAATTAAAATTGATAGAAAAAAAATAAAAAAAAAAGTGATCCTTATATCGTGATCTTTTTTTATGTATATCAATAACTAAATTGGTAATTCGTCGCATGATCTGACGCGCATTATGGAAATCTAATGCAAATTTTCATTGGTTAATTACGCGGCGTAAAAGATACTTAAAAAAGTACCGTACCCTTATATCTAGTTAGTCAGATTATCTAATATTACCTTTATCATAAATTTTGCCTTAATGTCGGCCAAAAATTACTTAATGATGGCCAAAATTACATAGATGTACAAAAAATAATTCATAATGCCTAGCTATCTGAAAAATTTAGATTATATAAATTCTAAAAATTTATTGGCTCAGTATACATATTTGTTCGTTTTTTTTGGGGGGGGACGGCTTAATTCTATAAATAACTTATTGCTTGCATTTACTTCAAATCATACATCTAGCTTTCCTGGTTTTGCTCAACTACTTTATTGCACAATTGACATTGAGTATAAACACATATTAGATGAAAAAATCAATAAAAAGTCAGCTTGGGCCGGCCGCCCAAGCTTTTTTAGGGCCGATCTCGGCCCGTGATTTTTTCATCGGCCCATATCACCAATTAATTTTTTTAAAACTTTGAATCAAAATATTTCGATAAATGTCTTAAACATCGAATTTAGCCAGGTTCTTACTG